GAATCAACTCTTTATTGCACACCATCAATCGGAGATCCAACACAAATCTAGAAGAAAATCAGGTGCTAGCTTTAACTAAAATTTCCGAATTCTATACAATAGCCTGACATATCAGACCGTTCGTTTAGTCATAATCGAGTTTTTGCGCAGCTAGTCAATTCACTTATAGTTCCACCCATTTACGCTTATATATTCATCTGGCTTCACGTGTATAGTAGCGTTTCTATCGTCTCACAAAGTCTACACCGCAGAGCTCCCACACCCCATCCATCCACAGCCTCATTCTTTTGATTTTTTTTGTGCTCTAGATAAATATAAGACTATTATGACTCACATCAATAGTCGTCTTCTTGATGCTAGCGAAGAACGCCTAAATGCACTGGCTCCTTTACATGGCTATGCAGAGGAGCGTCTAGTTTCATTAGAAGATGCGGTTGTATCGTTACGTAATTTGGTTCATAATATTGACGTACGCGTCTGGACTGCTACAAACAGATCCGAAAATCCAGCGGATAAACTCACTCCGAATGAATCGGCCGCCATCATATTATATACAATCGAATGGGATCCTAGTCATCCAAGTCTCTATTTGGTCTTGAATAGATCACTTCGTTTAGAAGATCGAAGGAAACTGGTTCCTTGGTTTTCTTATTTAAAATTAATTTTAACTGGATTATACAAATTGCCATCGATCCGCTGTACAGTTTGGCGAGGGGTACGCGGTGACTTACGCTCGCACTATAGACTGGGCGCCAAAATAACGTGGTGGGCATTCAGTTCGTGTACGGCTTCAATTAGTGTTCTCGAAAGCGAACAATATTTAGGCACATCAGGCACACGCACTTTATTTGCGATCGAGTGCTTGAATGGAAAAGATATCAAGCGGCATTCATACTTTGCCCAGGAAGAAGAAATACTGCTTCTTCCATGTACACATTTTGAAGTTATTAGCCATTTAAGCAGTATGGAAAACTTGCACATTATTCACTTGCGTGAAATTACACCCCCATTTATGTTGCTGGAACCACCTGATGCTACGTTCCTAGGTGAGAAAAGCTTCAGATAAAATATTGGCAGGATATAGATTATTGCTATATAACGTCGCATGCCCTCAACATACTTGACAACTTGAGTCGACTCAAACCGAATAAGAAATAGATTTTAACTACTAAGGCAATTCGTTTTACGGAGAGGGTTCTTTTACATTCCCTAATATCATTGCTAGTTGCAAAAGGACAACCACAACAACTCTGATATGTAATTTTGTAAGGAAAGACGTTAGTTTCATGTATGTTCAATGAAGTTTGAGCCACAAGTTACACATCAATCATATACGATGGAAGACTTTTCATGAACATTTCAGACGTATATCTAAAATAAAGTGTGAATGAAAATGATTTATTCTTGAAGCTCACACTTCTATCTTCGTTGAAAATGAGTCAATCGTTGACCACCGGTCTCCGATATAATTGAAAACTATTTCAGATAGGTCGTTATAGTAGATGAAGAAATACAACAGACAGTATCAGTTCATATAAAAATAAATAGGAATCAAGTAGACTCGAACAAGATAATGCGCTACTACAGTATGTAAACATTGGATATTCATAGATAAATATGTGCTTAAAATACTCCTATGGTACATATCGTATAGTTCTTGCTGTATTACTAAAGACTTAGAGAACTCTTGACATTTGATAAGAGATTTATTTCAATTCTTCTAAACGTTTTGACTTTTTCAAATGCTTGATAAACGCTGAGGAAAGAGTGCCAATAATATGTGATGTATGGCATAGTACAGGAGCAATTACGTCTCTTTATTCGCCTTGTCGAGCTAGAGGTAGAAATTTATTTAGAGTTGTTTTTTATACGAATAACTAAAGAAAATAATAATATTACATATTGTTATTGGAACCATTACTTATCATTTTAGAGTTAAAATGAATTAAATGAATCGTTCTATATTAATCTAGAAAATGTGAGCTCAATTTAAACATTTGCAACCTTATTGAAAATTGCACAACTGTTAAGCTTGTGACTGACTGTTTTATACCAAATTATTTATCTGTAAGGGAGAAACTCTAAATAGACCTCTATCTCTAATAAAAAACTGGTTCAGTCGATAAAACAAATATGAACACGTTTCGTTTTCTCTTATCGTAATGCTATCCACAGGACATCTCATCCATTTGTTTTTACTTTCAGAATCAATTTCGAATCATCCTTCCCATTTAGAACGTAAATAATATCAGTTACAGTGATTATTGTTTAAAGAAGTGATAGACATATTTTCTCTCTATGGAATGCAGCTTAGACCTTCAATGTCCTTCGTGACTTGTAAAATATATGAATATAAAAGTATTTTCTGACTTTTCCTAGACTCAGACAAACATATTTCTTATTGTTTCTAATTTTTAAGATTCTCACAATGACAACGCTAGCTATGAACAGCTAAAAGCTAAATTGGAGCAAGTTACGGACGAAAACAAGCGTCTTACAACAAAGTGCAAACAACAACAGGTCCAGATCAATCAACAGCAGATTCAGATAAACGAACTCGAGAATGAAAACCAAATTTTGAACAAAAATTATGCTGATTACGAAAAGGAAATCCAACGCCTGAAAGCAAAATCGCACAAGGCAGAAAAAGCGGTTGAACATCTAAAACAAGAAGCCGACGAATCTGACAAACTAAATGAGCGTCTACAAGTTGAAATTCAAAATCTCCAAAAGGAAATTGAACGCTTAAAACGTACTGCGGATAGATCATCTGAGCGTCCAAAAGCTTCTTTGGCTGCATCGAACGAGCGTTTAACAACAGCTTCATCATTTGCAACACCGAGAGCGACAGGTAAGTGCTATTTTTAATAGAAAGATGTTCCTACAATAGCTTTCATCAAATTTATTGCTTATTTGATTTCTAAAAATAATATAGTGCGAAAAGTAATTCATGTTCTTTTTGTTCTAGAGAAAGTATTAATAGTAGGGAATTTCTAAGCTGAACATGTTACCTATTTCTCTTATTTTTTTCCTCATCTGATTGCAATGCCAAAGTTTAATTTCCATAGTTCTAGTGAATTCTTTGTCAGTTTTCATTCAGTCAACAAATCATACAGTTTCTATATAAAAATTGGATATATTTTACGAATGACACTCAAAATTTGTTTTTTAAAAAATAGAATTTTCTTTTTGTATAGCTACTATTTGATTACTTCATAATATAACACGCACGAGCTTTGCTAATTGTACAAGAAAGTTTTTCACACAAATTCTAGCAAAGGCTTATGTACTTTGCAGAATTCGCCCACCTGGGTGATTACTTTTAGCAAATCAATCTTTATTTTCAGTCTATATTCTAGTGGCTTTTTTTATTCTCCGCCAACAATCTTCGAGAGCTACCATTTTTGAATAATCAAACACCTCATGAAATCGTCATTGGATTCAGCATGATCCTAAGTTTTAGTGTCACACAACATATGACTGATGTAGAATCAATTTTTCGAAGTTTATTAAGTAATAGCCACTGCTCTTAGACGAAAACACTCAGCGTGCTCAACTTTGATTAGATAACTATAACGCCAGTTACATAGACGAGTATACTTTCGTCTCCCTCTAAACAAAAATAAATGCAAACTACTTTTAAAACCGCCGTATTTGCTCGAGAATAAGAATATAAATAGTAATTATGGAATGAAAATAAAAACTGAACATATATATTGACAATAATGGTTAAAAGACAGTGTAAATCCTAGCATTAGATCAATCTAAGAAGTAGAATCTACCAAAAGCTATATTCGAAGGGAATACTATGAGTTACANAAAATTTGTGCACAATATATTCACAGCTTCTATTGAAGTTTCAATCTGTTTTTCTAATAGATTTTACTTGAACTCTTAGTTTCTTCTGTGTAGGATTATGTAAATTATTGATATTTTCATTTAGGGTCTGAAGAATTTGATGCATCTAAAAAGAAACTCGATTGTGATGGCCGTCCTTGCGCAAAATGTAAAAAGTGTCGTGATTGGCACTTTAATGGCGATGATGAAACATGGCGTTGGGTCTGCAATTGGCAGAATTGGACGAAGGCTGATGAAAAGCGTTGGGACAATGGTGCTTGGAAGTGTTTTACCAAGCGTAATGATGGTGCAACCTGTTATGTTTATTATGTTCTTTCTTATGGTTATGTTTCTGGTGTTTCTTATGTTCATGTGTGCTTATGTGATCGACACTAATATGTTTGTTTTTCATTTTTCCAAGAATAAAGTTTGATTACTAAAGAGCAGCGGAGGCTTTTCTTTTTTTTGGTTAAAGTGGCGGGTGATGTATGACAAGGGTAGGGGGTCTGTGGTAGGGTAATGGTAGTTGTAGGGGAAAGGGAGTGTATGGGAAAGGGAGTTGTAGGGGTATGGAACCAATGCG